AAGGAGAAGGCCTTCTCAGAAGGCGGCGGGACTTCTGAGAAGCCCTCGCGCCGTCTGAGAAGTTTGTTCTTTTCTTTCGGGGAAGGCTCTTAGGAAATATATAAATAGGCCAGGGGACTTCCGAGCCTTCTGAGAAGACCTCCTTCTTCTCACTCCGCTCCCTCGCTCGCCGCCCAGTCATGGGGGACGCCCAGGCCCAGGACCCGTTTCCGTCAGGGCCCGTGTCTTTCATGCTGAGGGCTCGTCGGGTTCGGGCGGCGTGCTTGGTGGAGCAGGAGGGTCCTGTTTTGATGCAGTGCTTGGCCTCCTTGGGCCCACTACGGGCCCCCCCCCAGGATGGCTGACAACGGTTATGGAGGACGATCAATGGAGAGGACGCATGTTGCCGAGTAGGCGCCAGATGTCTAAAACGTGATTTAATCATGTTTTAAGATGACAAAAACATGATTTGAACATGCTGATACTTTGAACATGCTGATAGCATGATCAAACATTTCAAACACACTTGAAATTAAATGATCGGATTGTTACGGTGCCCATTGTCATGACATCCACCAGACAACGTCCCACGGACGAGCAATTTCGTTCTTTGAGAGGGGGGGCCAGGGTCAAAAGCCCTCACGCCTCGGGACCTGCCTGCCTAGCGCCAATACCTTGCCTCCTCTCTGTCTTGCTTCTGCTGGCTCCTCCCCGCGCTCGTTCGTGCCCAGTTAGCTGCCATCGAGTCCCGCGCGTTGCCCGATCGGCGCCTGCACCTGCCGACCTAACAATCTCACTTCTGCTGCTGCTGCTGCCGCTGTTGCTGCTGTCCTCCTCGTCCTCCTCCTCCTCTTCCTCCTCCTCCTCCTCCTCCTCCCCCTCCCCCTCCCGCAGATTTTGGATAGCCCATTTGTGCGAGCAGCCACCGCGCCGCACAGGGTTGCTGGCACGGACCATGTCCAGTCCAGGCCCGACCGGGACCGATGCAGGGCCTTCGATCACTTTGGTCCAGTAGGCAAAATTAAGCGCGATCGATCGGGACGTGCGGGCCAACTCCGCCGTCGGACCTGGGCCCATGTACAGGCCGTCGGCGAGGCAATCACACCTGATGATGTCTTGCAGCAGCTCTGGGACTCCGTTCTGCAGGGTATAAACTACGAGATCGCAGGCAGGCACGACAAAGTTGGCACTGGAGCCAACCGCTTCGTCGGGCACCACGGCCCCGCCAAGGTGAAGTGGCGGCAGCTGCGGTGGGAGCAACCTCGCAAGCGGCTGTACCACGACACCACAGTCTGGGCATGGGCTATTGCGGCACGCTGGGCTACTCACCTTCATGCTGAGCGTGATCGGGTCCAGCGTTTTTGTCACCGGTTAAATGCGGTGGCGGCGTCTGCGCCTCCAGCTCCCAGGCAGCTGCAGAATACGGCCAGTGTTTTCTACGACATCCTTTGCTTCCTGAGCTCCATTGCTGGGCAGGATGGAGTCCTAACCAACATCGACCCCTGCTACCGCCAGTTCTTCCTGCGCGGGCTGGACGGGCTGATTGCGGAGGACTTCGATGACATGGTAGATGCCATCGTGGGCCGCGCGGAGGACCTCACTGCCGCGGTTCGCGGCGCGTCGGAAAGAGCTTGGCGCAGCTGGGCTCAGGCGGCCTTCAATGGGGGAGCGAAGGCTGCCCATGCTGCTTCCAAGGTCAGGGCGCAGCAGGAACTCGTTGCCCCTGAGGCCGACGCCCAGCCATACATCCTCGCGGACCGCACCATGGACGAGTGGAATCGGATCTGGGCGACCCATGGGCTGGCAGAGCTGCCTCTACCAACGGATGCACCTACGTGGGAGGAGCTGCCTAGCCTGACGGTCCATGACCTACGGCAGGCCATCCGATTTTTCTCTCTCGTCAACGCCTCGGGGCCCACCCGCATTCCACCCGAGGCGCTCGAGCACTTATCGGATGAGGCTCTCAATTGGTTGGCCCAGATGTTCGAGGTCTTTGAGCTGCACTTACGGTGTCCCTCAGACCGCCTGTGTAGTGAGATGGTCCGTCTCCCTATGCCAGGTGGTGGCCACATGCTGGTTGCGCTTAGCCATGCTCTCATACGACTTTGGGCGAAAGCACGCCGATGGCTGTCGGCAGAGTGGCAGCGACGGCAGAATTGCGACGAAGTGTGGGGTACTCGAGGCAGCCACGCATCCACGGCCTCGGCTTTCGCTCACATTCTCGAGCAAGAGGTGGGAAGCCGCGTCGGCGACCACACTTGTACCGCACTTGTACCATCTCCTTTGGCATGGTGAAATGCTTTGACACGGTGAGTCCCCATGCGCTCATGCGGGAGGCACGGGGGCTGGGTTATCCGAGACGCCTGCTCTGGATGTTGCTGCAGCTCTACCAGCAGCCACGGCGCGTCAAGGCGTGCGGCAGCCTCTCGTGCTCCTCCGTCGCCTTTCAGGGGGTGCTGGCGGGATGCACGCGTGCCGCCTACCCCATCTACCTGCTGGCGCACCGCGTCCTCCAGCGGGCCAGCAGGGATGCGCCGACAATCAAGCCGCGTTCGCTGGTGGACGGCACCGGCCTGCAGATGGTCTCCCCCGACGCCGGCGATGTCAAGCTGCTGCTGCGCACTGCGATTGTGCTCGCTGCAGGGGCCAGGGGCCCCGGGCTTATTCTCCAACCTGCTAAGTTCGCGGTTGTGGCTGGATCAGCGCAGGTCCGCCTCGCGGTGCACGGGGTCCAACGGCGGCTGCCTCGGGCGGTGCCCCAAGCCCGACGCGTGCGCAACCTTGGCCATGAGTTGCATGGCCCTCGAGTGCTGAGGAAGGTTTAGAAGAAGCGCGCGAAGGCCGTGCGGGAGCGCAAGCGCCGCCTCCTCATGCTGCGTCGCGCGGTAGGGCGCAAGGCCTCCACCCTGCGGCGGACTGGGCCCATGCCGTCCGCAGGGCACGGCGATGGAGCGTCGTGGTTGGCGAACGCGCCCCTGCGTGAGATGCGCAATTTGGCCGCGGTGCTAAAAGGGCGCAGTGGCCAAGACCGCGCGGGCGTCACGGCGCGCCCCGTTACTCACCCTTCGGAGGAGTACGACCCCATCCAGCATGCCACGCTGGACCTGGTCTTGAAAAGCGCCGCCTGGATTGGGATGGGCGCGCGTCACCTAGTCGCCTTCAAAGGGCTTGGACAGAGCTCCATGAGCGGATTGTCCCCATCAGTTGGGCCAGCGCCAAAGGTCCCCTGGCCGCGACACGGTTGGCGCCCAGGCGGCCAGCCTGGGACATGAAAGCGCCGCGCGTCTTGCAGGGCGACCTGGGCAACCAGTGCGACCTGCGCCGCGTGCGCCCTGCTGACCTACGTCCGTTTCTGGTTCAAGGCGTGCAGCGCTGGTAGCGCGACCGCCTCACCAGTCACATGTGCCCCCACGCTGGCGCGCCCATCTGGCACCGCGGGCTCAGGCATGCGGCCAAGGGCGTCCGCGCCGCAAGGCAGCTGGGAGCGTTGCAGGCGCTATGGTCTGACAACGTACCCATGCCGATCCGTGGGGCCATGAAGCTCGGCATGCCCATGCGCCCTCGTCAGGCTTGCGGGAAGCCCCTTGCGCCCGATGAATGCTGGGGCCATGTCTCCTTGGAATGCCCCGCCGCAGGGGAGCCGCGGCCCATGGAGCAGGAGCCGACGGACCATGTCCAAGGCCTGCGACGAGCGCAGAACCTTGAAATGCAGCAGGGCTTCGGCGACCTGCGCCGGCAAGCTCCTGACAACCTTGCGAGTCGGGCCGACCCGTCCCGGCCGACCTTGCCGACCCGGCCCAGCACCATAGAGGCCGGGGGCGACTTCTTCCCAGGCACTGGGCAAGGGGTTGATGAAGAGGTCGACTTTTGCGCCGCCCGACGGGTGCGACGGCCGTCAGGAGAAGGCGCTACTGGGCGCGCAGAGTGTCCGCTTCGCGCCGCCGGTTGATTCGGAACAGAGGGGCCCGTTGCCCCCTGCGGCGGCGGGCGCGGCGTGCCCGAGACAGCGACGCCAACGCTTAATGGCCGTGATATCTTCCACCTCCCCCAAGTGCTGGCTGAGGCACGCGACCAACTTGCCCAAGCGGGTCTTGGATCAGGCGCGCCGAATTTCGAGCAGTCCCATTTCGTTTTTGGCATGCCCGAGCCTCCCGCTTATCTGCCACGCGCAGGTGCGCGGAGGCATGATGCACGCCTTCGGAGCGACGCCCATGGCGCTTGGGGCCCCATTTCTTACACCGACGGGTATGGTTACGACTCAGGTGTTTGCGAGGTGCGGAGATGTGGACAAGCTGTTGTGCAGCTTGATCCTTATTCTTTGCTCGAAGTTAGGGCGCGGTTCGGGCCCCTTCCGCACTTGGCGCAGACTGTCGGCCGCGCTGAGAGGCACGCGATCAGGGAGGGGCTCGACGCTTTCCCTGACCACCAGTGCTTCGTCACTGACCTGCTGGCGCTCGCCCAGGAAGGAGAGAGCTGGTGTCCCGAGCTCGAGCAGGGTCGCGCCAGGCGAGCGTGGCGGGACATTTTCGTGGCCAGCCGCAGGTGCACTCTGCGGGGCCCTCCCAAGTTCCGATGGGCGCCAGCGCACAGGTCTTTAGGAGCTTATGGGCACAGAGCCGCAGGAGCTGCGTGACTGGCTAGGCAACGGCCGGGCAGACTACTATGCGCGCTGCGATGCGGCCTCTCGCGCGCTGGCTGGGTCGGTGGCTGAGGCGGTAACAGCTGCGCTGAAACAGCACCGCTAGGTCCTGCAGTTCATTTCGCGGGCGGCACTGCAGGTGGCGGCTCGCAAACAATGGGGATGCGACGTGGAGGTCCCTGGGCCACCTTGCGAGCAGGCTAGGCCCATTGTTGTGGCACGCAGTGCGGACCATGTCCTTGCTTACTGCGCCAGCCTCGGGCGGTGCCGATGCACCCAATGCGGGGTCACGGCCGCAACGGGCTCCTCCCTCGAATCGCTGCAAGCTGGCTCTCATCGCGTATGTCGCCCTTCGCGTGTTGCCAGAGCTTTCAACGCCGAGTACTTCCGCGCCTTCGGCGATGGCTGGGTTCTCTGCAGCGACCAGAGTGCTGGCATGGCCCTGGGTGCGGCCTTGGCGCTCGAAGGGAGCTCGCAGCCCTCGGCCCTCGCAGCCTTGTTGCCGCCTGCCTTCTCCGAGGAGGTCTGGGGCGCCTTCGCTGCGTTTGGGCACGACGTGTTCAGGGGTAACCATGTTACTGTTGCAGGCGCTGCAGGTCTCACTGCGCTGCGGGAGATGTCCGCGCAGTGCGGAAGCTTGGCTCGAGGTGCGATGGGCTCTCGCCCAACGGGCCCGCGCGCCGCAACCAGCAAGATGCGATCAGGCGCGTCGAGAGGGGCTTGGCGCCTCGTGCCCGACGCACCCCGGCAGCGCCGCCCCCGCAGGGGGGCTCCTCTTGCAGCCGCGCGGCGCGTTGATCGACCATGTCGCGATTCGCTGCCTTTCCGTGGTCGGCTGGTGGCACGGCGTCTTCTTCGGTGGCGACGCCTCTTTCGTCGGCGGCAAGTTGGGCCGCGTCCACGGCCTTGAGGGCGACATCTTCTAGATGCTATCCTTCTACATTGCCTCCTGCTCTTGCTGCGCCGCGCCGCGAGTGGGCGGCGCCAGGGGGCAGCCCGTCGCGCGCCCGCGCGCGCGGCGGGAGACCTTCCTGAGGCGCAGCGCCCCCCCCCCCCCCCCCCCCTCTCCCGGTGCAACGCGGGGGCCTGCTCTGCGCGCCTGGCCGCAGATCCGCTGGGAACGCTCGGAACGACCCCCCCCCTTCCACACCTCAATCCGCTGCTCTGTCCCCCCACCTTCCCTCCCCCAATCCACCCTCCCGGGTTCCATTCCGATCCGCTCGATCCGGTTCGATGTCGATTCCAGCCGGCCCGATCCGATGCGGGTGCCCGCGTAATGTTGTCGCGCGTCCGATTCGGTCTCGGTTCCGTGCCGATGCTGTCCGATCCGACGCACAGTTCGGGTCGGTGCGTACTAATCCTGCTGACATTTCACGCCTGTGTTTGCCCCCGTCCTCTGTTCCTCCTAATCTGCTCCTCGCCCCCCCCCCCTTTGTTTTCGATCCTCGTCGCCCCGTCGCGGAGAAGCACTATGTGCATGCATCTGTTAGCCAGCCCTGGCCCCAACCAGTGCGTTCTAGCATGCTACGTGGTGCAAGCTACTACGCGGTGCAATCTGCGTGGCGCAATATAGTACGCTGCGCAACCTGTGTGGTCGGAACGATTTCAAGCCATATATGTTGTTGAAGGTATGTGGAGCCATCTCTGGCATGTAAGTTTTATGGCGACATCTATTTGGCGCAAGTGATTTTTACAAACGAGTTGGCACATCCCATGCTCCTGCAAACACCCCGCCCACCCATCCGCAACTTTGTTTGCAAAGCCCGTGTGGCGGCAATTGCGATGATTGCTTGGCGTTGGCTGGCGCACGTTTGCGGCCGCGCTAGCCCGCGCATGCTCGCGCCCACAGCGGCGAGCTAGTTTGGTGCGACCGACGCGGCCGCTCTGGCGCTGACCGCTGGGCACTTCCAAGCGGGCACTTCAGTGGGGGTCGGTGTGTTGGGCGGGCGCGGCATCATGGCGACGCCAACAGAGGTATACATCATTCTGAAAGTAACGGTGGCGACGAAGGTGGCATTGACGACGGCAAGGCCACCGACGGCGCCGCCGTTGATCACGTCCGACGATAGCGATGACGATGTCTCCGCGTCGGCGATGATGGCAGCCGGCGCGCTCGAATCTATCAGCTTTTTTTTACGCGGATCGCGCCCCCCGCAGCGCGCCCGCAGTGGCGTTCGAGTGGGTTCGGCATGCGGCGCGAGAGGCCCGTCTGTCACAACCTGATGAACATTTTTTGGAAAACGATGGTTCCCCGAAGGGATTCGCATGGGCGGTAGAGCGTGATGTTTTGAAAACTGACGTTGCGCAGACGTTATATATATGCATATATATCTAATATATATATATATATGTATGTTTATGTATGGGCCCCCTGTTTGGCTCATGTGACTTGGACGTCTACATATTCCACTCTCTCGCGCGCGAATTGAGACGGACATTGTTTCATGTGCGTTGCGTCAAGAGGTCGTAACATGAAATTTTCGTTTTGCGCTTTCCTTGATATGGGATCCGCCGCCCCCAAGCAAACGTGCGTTTCTGGCATTGCTTGCTGAAGAGGCACGTGGCGAACGACGAAACAACTACCGGATTGAATCTTGTCACGCTTGAATCGAAGAGGCCATAGCACATCATTTTTGTTTTCAGCTTTGTTGAATTTCATATCGTTGAAACTCACGAAAACAGCGGGGCTTGGTATAGCCAAAGAAACAAGGGGCGATAACGAACAACACCTTAGAAGCAGACGGACCAAGTACATTGTCTAATGTGTGTTGCGTCAAATAGTCGCCAGATGATTTTCCTGTTTTGGGCCGTCCTTGATATGGGATCCGCCGCCCTCAAGCAAACGTGCGTTTCTGGCATTGCTTGCTGAAGAGGCACGTAGCGAACGACGCAACAACTACCGAATAGAATCTTGTAGCGCTTGAATCGAAGCAGTCATAGCACAATATGTTTGTTTTTAGCTTTGTTGGATGTCGGACATTTGAAACTCACGAAAACGTTAGGCTCTGGCATAATCAAAGAAAAAAGTGCGATAACGAACAACACTGTAGATACAGACAAACCAACTACATTTCTTCGAGATTCCCGCGAAGCCTACATCGGTAACACCTCGGATGGTTACCTCAGCGTGGCCGCGGTACGAGTCGAAGACAATAGGATAGTATCATATGGTGTGCCATTTTCTATCACGCAGGCACCTCCAACACACAACCAATAAAAACACACACCACATAAACAACATAATATTTCGCTTATTTGTCAATCGCCGCCGCGCAGCTTTGGATGTGGCAATGCGATAACATAAACTTGGTTGCTTCTTCATGATCAAAAGGAATATTAAATTAACTACTTTGCACGTCCAAACCTCATACTCCACTGGCTTAATATGGGGCAGTTCTTCCTGGATCATTTTGTATAACCCTCTATAACTGAAGCCAGCATATTTGCACATCGCTCCCATCTCTCTGACGTTTGGTCCAGCCAAATCGTCCAACGTCTGGCACAGAAAAATCCATATCACACGCGATAAATTGCAAACTATGCACGACCCTGAAAGCACCAACGCCTGCAATATTCGAAAGGATTTTGAACGACTCTGAGAAAGACTCAAATAGTTTCCCCGGTGCGTCGAAATAAACACTGACATCCCGCGCCCAGTCCGTGTGGTAACCAAAAGTAGCATGGCGCAGCCTAGAGGAACGTTTTACTTCGCTGGTTGATCCTGCCGCCAAACGAACGCCTTTAGAGTCAGTTCCGGGCGATGCAATTGTGTAGCGCAGTTCGTCGATTGTCTGATTGCTCCACTCGTCATCAAAAACCTGCATGACCCTCTGATCCCGCGAAAAGCTTGACCGGGATGACGACCGCCCGCTGGCTATCATACAAAGCAGAATTGTTAACCCACCTGGAAATTTGCCGCTGGGCAACTTAGGTTCACCCACGCAGTTGCGCAAATATTCAGGAACAGGATCCCACTGAACACGGGGATTGTGTATCTGAAATAAACTCATCATTGAAGAAATGCACCAAGTGCTGTTGGCCATTGCTTTTGTGACTGCGCATTGTTTCAGCTTCCCCGTTTTGCCGTAAAGTTCCGACAAGACAAAAACATGCGCGCGTATTGTCTCGGCTGATTGGTATATTTCAGCCGTGCTCGAAATAGGCGTGTTATTTTTTGTGAACTACTGGTACTCCTACTACTACTACTACTACTACTACTACTACTACTACTACTACTACTACTACTACTACTACTTCTACTACTACTACTACTACTACTACTACTACTACTACTACTACTACTACTACTCTACTACTCTACTACTCTACTACTACTAACTACTACTACTACTACTACTACTACTACGACTACTACTAACTACTTCACTACTATGTTACCTCTTTACTAATACTACTACCACTACTAACTACTAACTACTTACTACTACTATACTACTGCTGCCTGCTGCTGCTGCTACTACTACTACTACTACTAAACGACAAACACAAATATTACTGCTGCTGCTGCTACTGCTGCTACTACTATGCTGCAATACTAATACTGCTACTACTCTACTACTACTACTACTACTACTACCTACTACTACTAGTTACTTACTACTAACACTACTACTACTACTACTTACTACTACTACTACTACTACTACTATTACCACTACTACTACTACTACTACTACTACTACTACTACTACTACTACTACTTCTACTACTACTACTACTACTACTACGACTACGACTACGACTACTACTACCTTTACTACTACTACTACTACTACTACTACTACTACTACTACTACTACTACTACTACTACTTCTACTACTACTACTACTACTACTACTACTACTACTTCTACTTCTACTTCTACTACTACTATGATTTAATCGTTTCGCTCATGCCGCCGGCCCTGGAGCCCTCTTTAGGGCCTCTTGGGGGCCTCTTGGGGACCTCTTGGGAGTCTCTTGGGGCTCCTTGGCGGCGTTTTGGAGGCCCCCAGGGCCTCTTGGGGGGCTCTTGGGGGTAGTCGATTGCGGCTCCCCCTCGGAGGCCACGATCCTCGTGAGGGGTGTCGAAAAATACCCTCCCCTGGAGTGGTCTGGTGGCTTCTCCCGGGCTTCTCTCGGGACCTTGCCGGGGTACTTTTCGTCCGGGGGCCCCCAGGGGCCGCTCCGCGCGCGCGAACTAGAAATATTGTTAACAAGTTACCGGAGATCTTAGCACGCCTCTGGCCCGTTGGGCCGGCGAATTTCGGCTACTACGACTACTACGTTTACTAGTGCTATACCACAAAAAAAATCGACATTCCACAAGCGCCTTACGTCATTCCTGTACCTCCTCACTCATCCCTTCCCTTGCCTCTGTTACTTTCTGGAGTAGAGCGGATAGTTTGTCAAAGACATATCATGAATATGAGATATATATTGTTTCGCGTTTCTGCTTGCCCGTTCTATGCACAGCGCTACCCAGAAACTTGCTGCTCTGCGACAATATCCGCCATCATTGGTTGGGGGCAGCTGCCGGAGAACATTTAACAAGTATGTCTCTGAACTCTCATTCATCAGGTCATCAAGATATTCCCGCCCTGCGCTTGCTGAGTCCAATTTGCATCCTTTGTAATACCTGTACAGCTCTTCGCGCGAACTGAACTTCTCGACATCAGCAAACATTCCCGCCTTCACCAGTGCTCGAAGGTGAGGCAACGTACGATATGGAACGCCCGCGCCCACAATTTGAACCGATCCACTACAGATAATACAATTGCCGCTCGCGTTCTCCTGCTGCTCGTCCTGCTCGTCCCTTTGCTGAGTCGTCTTTTGCTCCTCCTCCTCCTCCTCCTCTTCCCTCATTTCTTCGTTCTCGTAGTCCTT